TAATTTTGTAAATATTTTCTTTATGGCGAAATATATATTATATTATATATTATATATTATATATGTGCACAAAAAAAAAAAAAAAATAATGTAAAAAATCTTCATATTGAATATGTTAGGTGGCATACTTCAATCTCGCCTATTAATCGCTATCGAAATATTGTTTTTATTGATGAAAGTTCATTTAATTTACGCATGTTTTTTATTATTATTATTATTATTATTATATTTTCTTTGCCGTATAATTAAATTTACAATGAGAAAAAACCATTCATGTATAAAAATTGGCCGGAGCAAGAAGAAGACATAAACTGTCTTATCGCCAAGCCCCGTTTACATTAACGTCACAAAGTTACAAGTTGAAAACTAAAAGGTTAAAAATTGAAGTACAATACAATATTAGTTCGACAAATATAAGACACAAGTAATAAATCGAATAAATGTTATTTGTCTCTTCAAAATTAATAGTATATATATTTTATATTTTAATAAGAAATAAACAAGATACACAAGACAATAGTAAATGAGTAGTGATGACTTTTTCAGGTTTAATTATTTTAGGTGATTTTAGAAGAAATCTTTAAAATCGAAATTTTTTTCTAATAGAAAACGTTTAGATTCTCTTTTGAATTGTTCTAAGGAGATGCCTCGAAGAATTTTATTTTTAATTATATTTTTTAAAAAACCTTTCCATATAAATGGTCCCCGGTATTGAATTTGAAATGAATTGAGTTTTAAATAAGATCTTGGAATAACAAAATTATCAGATGAAAATTTAGTGGGATATTTATAAGAATGACTGTTTCGCAGCCATTCATGGGCAAGAAGAGGAGTAACACCAAACCCGATCATTCACCCTAGGCAACGTAACGTTTCGATGATATTGGCCGTCAATGGTTTAAATATTATTCACTGCAAAGCTGTCAGTGTGTCAGTCAACACAGTTTTGTTTCAAGAATATATTGATGAAGTTGTACGAGTTTTGGGGACAGAGGAAGAATTCACCATGGTGATGGATAATGTCAGAATCCATCATAATGTTGAGATGAGAGCTCAGAACATTCAAATAAAATACTTGCCACTATATTCACCATTCTTGAATCCGTGTGAAGAGATTTTTTGTCTCTTAAAAATAACGTGCGAAGAAACACGGCCCCAGCTTGAAGAAATGAACTAACTAATTTCAAGAATGCGTGAGGCATGCTTATCTACTCCTAATGTTAACTTATCAAACTATTACACACACTGCGAAAGCTTTTTCGAAGCGTGTCTTAGGTCAGATGACATACCTCGACAGTAATTGGAAAATAAACATATTTTAAATAAAATTAATATTTTAAAATTTTTTAAAAAAATCGAATAAAAAAAATATAAAGAAAATTTTTTTTTTAAAATAATATAGAACGTTGAGATTGCGCATGCGTTAAATGTTTTAATTAAAAATTACGATTTTTTTAATTGAAAATCACATTGTTTTAATTGATTGTCGCGGTGTTTTAAATAAATGTAATGGTTGTTTTAAATGGTTGTCATGATTGTTTTAAATGGATGCAAAAACCGGTATATATATATATATATATATATATATATATATATATATATATATATATATATATATATATATATATATATATATATATATATATATATATAAAATAAAGAAATGGAGTTCTATTACTAGTATGAAGAAGTTTGAACTTATTGATTTCAATTGTAAGATAGATAAAGACCCAAGGTCATGAGGTCACAAATGAAACTTTTTGAATGAAAAATATTTTGCCTGTTTGGTTACTGTTTATAGTCCATATTTGTTAATTAAATTTATTAATCTAAATAAAAAGATACTATTAATAATAGTATTATAAAGCTATATAGGTTAAACCTAGTTAAACCATAAGTTAATATTCGATTACTATAACTAATTAGTAATATTTATCAAATAAGTTGAAAAATTGACAACTTTCAAACTATGTTTTTTTAAACCCTTTTACGCATGCGTAAAAGTAAGACCAATGGACGCCCTTAAACGAACTATTATGGACTTCCTAGCGTAGTTAGGGAGAGAACCTAATGATTTGCATTTCTTAAAAACAAAAACTCATTTTCGACTATTACTGTTATACAGTGGCGTAGGAAGGTCGCGAAAGTTGGGGTGGGGGCTGGGGCTGAATACATATATTAAAAAGCAAAACGTTCTTTATTTTTTGTATGATGCAGCAAAATAGATAAAAATGATCTATTTATTCAATTATTTATCACTTGCAACATGATTAATTATCATTTTAACGTGATTAGTCATCTTTTGCCGACACACATTCATTTAAAAAATAGTTAGTATGTGATCGTATCTTAAATAGTTTTATGGATATACTTTGAGTCATTGCAGACTGGAAAATGATAACTCCGCTGTTGCTATTATAAAATAGTTAATAAACTGTTAAGAAAGTGGGGGAGGGGGTTAAATGCAGTGTCCGCCTCTCCCCCCCCCCAAAAAAAAAAAAAAAAAAAAAACCAATTAAAACACACACAAAATAAAACGGCATTTTTTGAAAGCGAAAGGGACTAAACGCTATATTTTTCTTCGGATCTCTCCTTACCTACGTTGAGTTGGACGTAGTTAAGTTGGACGTACCGTTTAGGTCCATTCGTTCAAGTCCACAATGGTATGTCTTTGAACGTCCAAAGACGTTCCATTTCAGACTTGGACGAATGGACCTTAACGGTACATCCTATGGACATTCAAGGACGTCTTGTTCCCATTGGGTAAACATTCTTGAGCACCACCTATTCAAACACGGATAATAACCTTATCCACCTCTAGTCACCTAGCTGTACAAAAATAATCAACGAGTAATTTTGGTAAGATTGCTTTTAATAAAATATGTTTATGAATCTTTATAATCAGGGTTATTTGCATCAGTGCATGTATGTATGTATGTATGTATGTATGTATGTATGTATGTATGTATGTATGCATGTATGTATGTATGTATGTATGTATGTATGTATGTATGTATGTATGTATGTATGTATGTATGTATGTATGTATGTATGGATGCATGTATGTATGTATGTATGTATGTATGTATGTATGTATGTATGTATGTATGTATGTATGTATGTATGTATGTATGTATGTATGTATGTATGTATGTATGTATGTATATATGTATGTATGTATGTATGTATGTATATATTTATGTATGTATGTATGTAAAAAAAAAAATATTATTTGATCCTTTGAACTATGTTTAATAAAACAAAACCATTCTACGATAGTCAATGATGTCATCATTAAATAATAAACCGCAAAGTTTGTCACTTTCAATGTATATAGGATTAAGTTAATTTAGGTAACTGAAATAAATATTATAACTGAGGTAACTAAGGTAATTTATCTTGAGTAATGTTGTTTGTTTGAATTTCCTTTTTTATTATCTAAAGCTAAATAAAAGATTTCCAGAGCAATTTACAACCATAATAATAATAATCAATCTCAAAATTGCTTTAACATTAGAGAATGTTGATTGGACACAATCGTAAAATATTATCCTATAGATCATTATGTTTCTTGAGCTTGACAGTCTAACATATTGATTGCATTACTTCTAATACAAGATTTATGTTCACATATTCAGGATATGTTTGGCATAAAATAGTAACTTTTTTAAAAACTTCGTCTTATGTAGTTTCAAATTATGTTAAGAATAAAAACCTTTTTTCATTGTATACTGAGGTCCTCTGTTCCAAACTTGACTCTTTAAAAAATTATCTTTAATTTATTATTGATACGCCTTTTTCTATATCTGCTAATCTTGTATCTTGTAATCATTTGGCAAATTTTCCTTTGTTTTTTTTTTCAAAATGATCAAACATATTCTTTAATAAAATTTCTGGAAACATATGCTTTAATAATAAAAAGTCTTTAATAAATCCAAGAGGTAGGATCTTGGAGATCTTGCAGTTATTGCCTAGTCTTGTAAAATTCATTAATATGCAGCTGATCCAATGAAGAAAATCTGCCATAATAACTATCAAGTATTGCACCAGTGTTTAATGAGTGTGCTTCCCAACTAGCCTTTGTCAAAGACTTTGGAATTTTTAAATCATCTTTAAAAAAAAAAAAAAGTATTGATCAGTTATTTATAGATGGTGAAAAAAAGATATGTATTTTGAACAATTCCAAAAAAGATTACTGCATCTAAACAACAGCCAACTGCTGTTTTACCTGCTTTATAGTATACTTGTTAACCTTTAACATTATTTTCTGCATGCCCATTATTTGATGCACATATTGGCAGCATATTCATGTGACTGACCTCGACACTTAATAAGATCTATTTGAAACTCATTTGTAAGGTATGTGTCCACTATTTTTGCAATACTTTTTTTAGTCTAGGTATCTATTATCTAGGTACCCATCTCTAGAAAAGTTAGAAAATGTTAATAATGAGCCTATCATTTGGTGAAATATATCTCACAATAACAGTAAACTGATCAATATGAGACCGGTCTGGGGTGGAATTTTTAGATAAACTAAACCCTCCAGTTTTCATCCGAATCATCCAAGATTGGATGCCTACTATGCCATCATCAAATCTCTTGTTTTATGTCTTATAATTTAGACAAATATAGACTTTAAATTTTAATTTTTCTATAAACTGAAATTTAAAAAGATATTTATATTCGAATACAAGTATATAAAGGTGGTTATTCAAAATACCAAAGAATTTGTTTAAATAATGTTTAAGCTAATTTAAAATAGTTTAAATTTGTTTTATAAAAAAACACAGCTGAGGTAGAAGTGATACCTTGAGAAGGATTTCTATGTTTAGTTGATCTAAAATTATTTAATGGCCATTTTATGCATAAAAAACAAAAAGTTATTTAAATTTTAAAGCAACTAAATATAGTGTGGAAACACATTTAACTTATTTGTCCTAAAACAAACACAAAAACAGTTTAAATGCTAGAACACAAAATTAAAGAAAAACGCTTAGTTTTTGTTTTTTCACTTTCTATTTATTTATTATTATTCAAAATGCCAGTTAATTACTATAAAATGTTATGTACTTGATTAAATTCATTCTGAAATGAATCAATAGTCTAGCAAAATCTCTAAATAATATTAAAACAAGTAAATACTTTTATTTTCTGACAGCATAACTTAATTTATTGACAACCGCAGTCTTTTATAACAATATTTTCTAGTTTTTTGCCATATACCAGATAGTCACCATTGTGATAATACATTGTAATTGAACCAAGTGTTAACGGAGCACAACAGGTAGATTTATCAGGATTCTCTTTATCACACTTTCCCATACATTTATTAGTCCAAAAACCTTTGGGAGACAACACCCATCTCCAGTTTATATCTTCAAAACTGATATAAACTGGGCGGGAACAGCAGCTAACGCTTTCATTACACTTCCATGTTTTTCGTCGCTGACGTGGTGAGCCTTTTTTTGTAACAAAACTAACATGCAAATACGGAGTATGTTGTTTTTCTGTTGATATTTGTAGGCGGTTACCACATGTGTTGCAAGATAAAAAGAGAGGCCTTAGACTACTGTTGGTTGACCTAGTCCATTTTTGGAATGCTAAAGTTACATCAAAATCAATCCAGCCGAAAGAGTTTTTTAATATTGGTCTGCTTGAAATTATATTGTTATTTTCTTTTAGTAAAATTATTATAAAATCTGTATCTATGGTAAAAGATTTAATATAAACAGAAAATATAGCAGATGTTATTACAGAATCTGCTTCAATTGTGTTATATTTTGAATGAATATTAACTTCACCAGATGAATTCCAATCTAAAATTAAAAAAAAAACTATATTAAAAATTAATTTTATATAATAACGTATATATATATATATATATTTATATATATAATTTACTTTGGACTAATTCATTGCTTTATCAGCTATGCAAACATATCATGGGCAAGTACTCAGCCATCAAAACTTAAAAAAATCTATAGTCTACAAAAACTCGCATGCAGAATCATTTACTTTAAAAATAAGCGGGAGAATGCAAAACCTATAATGAAAGATATGAAAATGATGGATGTTTTTGAAATAAATATCTATCAGCATTTAATTTTTATGTATCCATTTAATAGTAATCTCTCTCCTACAAACTTTACTAACAAGTTTGAAATAAACATAAATGAAAACTACTATCTAAGAGCAAATATAAGTAACACATATAAACTGCCTCAAAACCTTAATAAATATACTGAATATAGCATTGCATATTGGGGGCCAAATATATGGAATAGATATCAAAAAGGATCCAAATGTATGACAAAGTCATTAAGTTCATTTAAGTTTCTGATAAAAAAAGAAATTTTTAAAATTTGATTATTATTTGTGCTTAAAAGGATTACAAAGTAATTTTCTTTATAATCTTATTTATTTGTTTTTATTGATCAGCGCAGCAGTTTTATGCCCATTAGGGTTTTTAATTTAATTTAATATCCATAACCTAATGAAAATGTATATAGGGGGCTCTATTAAAAGATTGCGATGACGTTTTGTCATCTTCATCTTCTTTGAGCCCCTGTCTGTTTAACTCTTTATTTTATAAAGATCATTGTAAAAAAGTATAGTTTATTTTATATACTGTATATACAAAAACGGTGCTTGTTGACAAGATTTTACTGACTTCTTTGTTATACGGACATATTTCTTTCTTTCTTGTATATATATGTGTTGATTATATTTGTTAAACAGCAAAATAAATGTAAAAAAAAAATATATATATATATATATATATGTATATATATATATATATATATATATATATATATATATATATATATATATATATATATATATATATATATATATATATATATATATATATATGTATATATATATATATATATATATATATATATATACATATATATATATATATATATATATATGTATATATATATATATATATATATATATATATATTTATATATATATATATATATATATATATATATATATATATATATATATATATATATATATATATATATATATATATATATATATATATATATATATATATATATACACATATATATAAATATATATATTTAAACAAGCTTTTTTTATTGTTATTAAAAGCAAAAATTTTGCCTTTTAGGTTAATTTTTTATGAATATTAAGATTTAAACTTTTTTAATTTTACATTTTTTATATGAATTGATAACCATTATTTACTTTATACCAATAATTAAAACGCGTTTAATAGAGGTTTCTGTACCTTGATTTGATGATTGATAAAATCAATTTACTTCTTTTTTTTTGTTCTTTTTTCTTCCAAAAATATTTTCAGTATAGTTTTACTCATATTTTGCATTAATTTATATGTAATTTATTATGAAAGTTATTTTAGATCTGTTGACGGTGTGATAATAAGACAACAACTAGTATAATTGTAGTAATAATCGGTTTAAAGCAGAACTTCCATGCTTCTTATATTCTTTAAAAGATACAATTGACTTTAAGTGTATAATCGACTTTATGTGTATTTCTGTTGTGAAATAATAGTTTCTGATGCTCTTAGGAAAAAAAAAAAATATTTATAGGTATTAATTTAAATTAAATCAGATAAAAATATTAAGACTATCTATTTTATCTCGCTAACTTTTAAGTTTTTTCAATTACGTTTTAAAGCAAAATTTGCTTAACGCGCGTTAACCAAATTTTGTATAAGCAAACTACACCAGGTTTTTGGTGCAGTCGCACTGACTATTTCCAGTTTTCGAAAGAGTATGCTCTTTAAAAGTTGAGCTAATATACATACCAATATAAAAATCTATAGTTAAACTACATTAAAACATAAAAAAGGGCATTAATTATCTTATTTATTTACTATGTTAAAGGACATTTATTATATTACGCTAAATGATTGAGTTGCGTTTAAGAATGGTATAAGCTGAAGTCAAGGTATGTATTTTTATGCCGCTTTCACATTGTTCCTTTGGACCATATTTTACAGTTATTGGTCATGTAGTGAATTGCACTACTAAAATTACTTATTTTTTTACTTTTAGATTTTATTATTTTTGTAAAGGTTTTAATAAAATCTAAAAATTTAAAAATATTTTTGTGTGTTGTTTATGCTTAATTATTAGATATTCATATTATAATATTGATAATATTTAAAATTTAAACAACTCTTCAATTGATAGGGTTTCAATTTTTACATGCTCGCGGCTTCAAATTCAAAATGCTCGCTACTTCAAATTCAAGAAACATTTTGATTAAGACTGAGTTCTATTGATGAACTTTTTAAGCTAAGAAGCACCAAAAATATTCTTTTTATTATTATCTCTCTTAAAAGTGTTTGGTGGCAAACAAAAGTTTTCTGATATTTTCTTTCCAAATGATAATTACTATGATTTTATTTTGAACCTTGATAACAGTGCAAATATAATTTTGAACATTTTTGTTACAATTAACAAGTTGTAATTTAACTATATTTAACTGTAACATTAGATCAACGTTACGGCTACAAATTTATATTGACCCAACGTAACATTTTTTTTATTGTTTTATCAATGTGCTCCAAGAAGACCTAAAACCAGAGCACCTTAAAAAAAGGAAGGAAGCAAGAACTAAAAAGTTCACGCTTCCTTCCATACTAATGTCGTTTATCAGAACCGGCGGCATTGAGCTTCAAAACCTCTTGGTTCTCAACCAGAACTTTTACCACTTTTACAAGACAATACTATCTTATGTCAATGCTATGCAAATTTTTGACTAACTTTAACGCTTCTTTGGCCCAACAATACCCAAATGCGTTAGGTAAAATAAGATATACCATTTTTATTCAAAGAAATTGAAAGCTAATTTTTAGTTTATTTGTGAAATATTACTTGATAATAGCAATATCACTAATTATATTATTTTATTGTATCTTAATTATAATTCTGGTTAATTATTTTATACGCATAATCATGTGCGTGGTTTGATACATAAAATAATGTTATTGTTTTTACTTATACTTTAATCAGACGGCATCTACCATGAATGTTAAATATTTGCATATTATTAAGGCTAGTTTACAAAAACTGTCACAATGCAAAAAAGGAAGGGTTAAAAAAGCCTAAAGTTACATGACGTGACGTGAAGTCCAACCCTATCGTCTTATTTTTTATTATAAACAGAAATATAGCGGAATGGGTTAAAAAAGTGTATAGTTACAAATTTAAGAATGACGCTATTTGTATTCTAAAAAAATAATAAGAAATTTAAACCAACTAAACTACGGTAAGTTGCGGGAAATTTTGTGTATTTAATGGCTTTAATGATATTACGCTTCTTATTTTCATGCGTAGTTTACTTATCAAGTAATTTAGAATTTCAGGCTACAAAAAAAATGGAAAAGAAGCCGAATTTCTCTACTTTAAAGGTTTGGAATTTGCAGAGATAAAGTTTTTCAAATAACAAACTTTAAAAGAATTATATATATTTAAGCTCAACAAGAGTTAATCTTTTTACAAACATTTCAAAACTCTCGTCTCCAATCTATTTATTTCAAAACTCTCGTTTCAAATCTACGTATTTATTTTTAAAGTATTAACACATTTTTCTGCTTAGTTTCCCCTACCAAGTTCGTCATAGAGAAAGGATTTTCATGCCGTTAAATTTCATTGGTTAAATATCATACTACTACAACATTCACATTTTCACTGAAATTTTTTTTTATCTAAAAAGCTTTTTGAAGTTAATAATCTTACAATACTTTAATTTGCGTGTGCGCGCACATGCTTGTGTGTGTTTTTGCGTGTGAGTGTATTTTTTTCCGATGCAATAAATGAAAAATCAATCTTTATTAAAAGGTGATAAGTTATTTAAAAAATTAACATCCTGCAAAATATCAAAAGTTTTTTCAAATAAAAGGTATTTTTTATAAGTTGGTACCTTTTTAGAGGAATGAAATACCACGAAAGAATATGCTTACCGAAACAAAACTTATAGTGTTGTATTCATCTTGTTTTTTCTTCATATGCTTTAATCTATTTGTTTGAAAAATTCAATAAGCAAAAAATAACTTTTAAGATTTTTTTGATACAATTTTGAGATATGTCTAAGAAGTATGTTAGTGGAACAAATAAATAAAGTAGCTTTTACAATGCCGTCTCAGGTTCAGACTAAAATATACTAAAATCTCCAATTATACTAAAATAATCTTTTTTAGGCTTAGGCCATTAAATATTTTTGATAAAAGTTTATTAGTACCTTGTTCTGCTGTAATAATAATTTGAGTCTTTTCATCTTGTTCTTCTGTTAATCTATCTATGAATGATTTCGAATAAAATTTGCTAAAATTTTTTTTCATCGGACTTTCTGTCATTTCTAATTTATTCATAATTAAAGATCCAATTTCTTTTCTATACTGTTCTTCCCATTTCTCTTCAAATTGATTAGCTGCTTGGACCCAATTTTTAATTACAGTCACTGTTAATAGTGCACAAACTTGAAAAAATGCTGTAACCATAATTTTAAAAAGAGCTCAGATAGATGCAAAAAAAAAGAGGCTGTTTAAAAGAAGATATTTAAATTAACTGTTTCTATTGTTTATAGAATTTTTAAATAAACCTTAAATAAATATTAAATATTATTAAAGTTCCAGCCTTAATGTCAGTTTGATTTATTATTTTAAGTTTTTTTTTTTACATTTAAAAGCACCATAAAAGAGGCCCCCCCCTTCCCCTTTAAACAATTTTAAGTAATTTGAGAGTAAGTGAATTTTTTTTTTTCAACTTTTATTGTCGTTAGAAGTTAGTTTGTCGTTAGAGACGCCTTTTATGGCGTCTCTATCAACTTTCCAAACAAAACTTACAGTGCCTATGAAATAATTATTGACGCTTATCAAAGTCTTAGTCTTATATCAACATGACTAAGTTGATGCGTTTTATTCTCTTAATAAAATTAAAAAAAAAATCAACCTATTGCTTGTAATTTTTTAAAGTTACTGTTTGAAGCTATTGCGGTTGATAATCGAAAAAAAAAACTAGTTAAAAAAATAAAAAAGTTCCTCTTTGAACATATGTTACAGTATATAGATAATTTTTAAATTGGGAAGGTTTTTCTTAGTTTTCTAAAGCTACCAAAATGAAAGTACTTATATTTAGAGTAATCATTAATAAAAATGCATTGTTACATAATACGCATTAGCATATGAGGAGCCCATCTGCAAAACGTGCTAAGTCACAAAAAATAAAATTTGAGTTGATTCCTTTTTCACATTTTATATACTAAAATCTATCATCTTTTTAAATATTAGAACAATTGAAAAATCTTTTGTTCCAAAAATGGAAAAAGAAAATATCAGTTTATGTTGATGCGCAACTTTACATGGATTTTATAAGCGTTTTGCAAATAGACTCCTCATATAGCCTCATATATCTCATATAACCTCATTTATCTTATATAGCCTAACTTATTAAATGAGAAATATAAAACTAGAATTTAGGGTGAGGTTATAATGCACAGACATATAAAAAAAGAGCCGTGTAGTTATTTGGTTTTGAATCAACTTTAGTTTATTTTTTCTTTAAAAATATATCCATAACAAAATCAAAGCAAGAGCCAAAAAAAGACAAACATCAACGTCGATTAACGTCGATCATCGGATTAACGTCGAGTCTTATTTAAAACGTATTTTACAAATCGTATTTTATGTATGGACAAAATTTCATGATTAAAAAAAAATATAATCGTAATATATAGACAAACTTTATAAATAAAATAAAAAAATCACGAGTTCGATTGTTATAATTGAAGGTACATTTACTTGATTAAACTTTAAAAGAAACATTTAAATCGGATATATTGAAATCTACAAATAATGATAATCATTTTTGATTCATTTTTAAGCTGCTTTAATGTATTATTTAGCTATTTGTGTCTTATACAAATAAGACTCACAATTTTTAAATGAGTAAGAAGTTAATTTTAAATCAAACTTTAAAACTGTTGATTTAAAGTTAAAAATTAACGTCTTACTCAAGCTGTTTTCTTAAAACTTTGTAGACTGCTCGTGGTGAATTTTACTAAAATAAAACTAAAAGTTTAATCGACAGTATCGACCAATACCAAAACTTGTTTTATACATGATTATCTCAACTTTGTGTTAGATGATTTTCATACTCATAAATTTCAAAGTACACGCAAATGTTGCAAGAAACATTACTTATGTTTTTGTTTGTTGTAGAACTTTTTGTACGATTAGTATAAGTATTGTATGAAGTATTATTTGGCTGACTGTAAAAATGTCCACGCGTTTTTATATTCTGCCAAACAACTGAATGCCTGAAAAAAAGCAAAATAAAATTAGAATGTTATATTTAGAAAATATATTTTATTTAATATTTATTTATTTAATAGATTTCATTAACAGTCAGAAGAGAATACAAAAATGAAGAGTTAAGCAAAACTAGTGAAACCAGTTTATATCTAGTAAAACTAGTTATAAAGTTTTAATAATTAAACATTTAAAATTAACGACCAGGATAAACTGAATTTGCAAATAAACAAAAATGATCTAAGAACAATTACGTGAAATTAATAAAGTTATAAAACTATTATTACTAGTTGTCTCTTTTTTGCTTTCACCATTTCTTATTTACACATTCTATTATCTATCTATTATATAGTCTGTTCGCTTTTTTTGATGCTATTTTTTTAACTTGATTACTTCTGACTTTTACTCTTATTTACTTCTGTTCTTCCTTAAACTCACTTACTTTTATTTACTTCTGTTCTTCCTTAAACTCACTTTAATTTTTCTTCTTTAAACTCACTTACATTTAGTCCAACAAAGCAGTTTACTTAGAAAAAATAACTAATTTTATTAGCCAAATTTGAAATGGCGAATAATGAGCTAACCATAAAAATGCTTGAAGACAGAGAAAGCATTGGTTCGGTAGAACAATGGCTTTCTAAGCAAACCAATAATTAAAGTTGATGCATCAATTGAGTTTTAAAAAAATGGCGGAAATATAAGGCTCGATAAACAAAAACGAATGCATAAAAAAGTATGATAATCAAATTCTGGAGCGGCAGTTAACGATTTTAAAAAAGAAGCGAAACAAGCTTCAATGTAAAAAATTCCAAACAAAGGCGAATGGGACTTAAAGGAAACTAAAAATCAAAAAAAAATTGCGTAAATCTCTTAGAAACAAAAACGAAGCTACCCTGCAATCCATTAAATTTCAAAAGTATACAATAAAAATAGTTAATGGCGACTGTGTACCATTTTGGAATTAATTCAAAAAGTTGACAATTAACTAATTAGAAGTTAACAACTCAAACATATCAAGAATCAGCAAACTTAACTATTTACTGAAATTCGTTGAAAGAATGCAGTGACAGGATAGCTCAGACGGTTAGAGCGTCAAACAATAAGGTATAACCTGGTCAGTAGTACGATATAGGTTCAAATCCGCAAAAATGCTGGCCAATAACGGACGCTAATTTTAATTAGTCTTAATGACGATTTGTAGTTGTTCCTATGCTAAGCCAACAATATCTTCGGATAAAAAGATTGTATAGAAAAAAGACCATGAAAATTCAAAAAATAAAAAAAATAAAAATAAATGCCCAGTGTCAACATACTTATCTTACCATATTCATTAGATAGATTCGATTGGATGATCAAGCGAAATAAATATTATGAAACTCTTTGATTAACGTTGAGTAAAGATCTGGCAGCCAAGTAGGTAAAAAATTTTCAGCACTGAGGAAACTAAAAATAAGTATTGATAAAGTGGGTAACAAATTGCAACCGGTTTTCAGCTTGGTGCTGCTCTTTATCAACCGAGCTAAACTAATTACTATACAAAACTAGAAAAATGCATTTTTGTTGGTATTAAAATTTTTAGCTGTAAGCTTTATTAAAACTAAGCTGGTATTAAAAAAATTTTTATTGAATACTGATTGTGTTCAAGCAAATGTGTAGTTTAAAAGTACTTGGATTATCTGATACAAACAGAGAATCAATGATCCATTATGGCTTTAGCAAAAAATTGCAAACGATTGTCTGAAAGTAGTAACCCCAAATATTAGATATTTTTAAACAAAATTAGATCAATAAATTCTGAGCGGAAAATGCATTTTTACAAATCTGAATTCAAGAAATGTATAGAGAGACGCAAAAAAATTTATTTGGTATATGGACAAGCAAATGGAATTGAAGGAGTTACAGTTTACAAAGATTTGTGGTTCCAGTTGAAGTTCTCACGCTCAGAGCGCTACCATTAAAAACGTATATCAAAATACGAGAATATCTATTTAAAAACAGTATTTGCTTTGAAAGAAAACTCTTATATTGACAATCTGCAAAGCAGCAAATGAAGGGAAGAAAGTTGAGTTTATCAGGTTTAAAAACGAATAAACAAAAATTTTAACGGAAGCTGGAATCTAGCTCTATAAATGGCATATAACAAAAATAAATTATATAACGACGTTGAGTCAAAAGTACTTCGAAAGCATTTTTCTAAAATTATTTATATAACTAAAATACCATACAACACCACGAAATACCATATAACACCACGGATACAATTATAAAAGTTAAAGTGTTAATAGAATACAAAAAGTTACGCGAGTAGTTCGATAAAAATACAAAGTAATCTCAAATACAGGTAGATGGGCTCAAAAAACTTATGGACCACTAAAGCCACACACTCGCATTTGTACCTGTAATTCATAGATTAAGTCTTATCAAGGAACAAAATAGATTTTTTTAATTGACAAAAAGTTTTTGATAGGAAACTGTTAAAAATAACCAAATTAACATAATTTTGTGAAAATTATAGTAAAAACACTAAAATATTTTATTTAAAAGTTTTTTAACTTTTTGACATTATAGGCCACAAATACTTGAAATTTTTATCAAAGTTTACAAAGTAAGGTTTTTGTAAATATTTAAGTCATACATCTGAAAAAAAATTGAAAGAAAATAAATTAAAAATATAGTTACTAAAGTATTTCAAGTTAACCAATGTAGTATTTATGTGTGTTTTTTTGGGTCCATTAAAAAAATATATATATACGGATCAAAAACTCATTATTAAAATAGAGTTTTTCTTTTTTCTATTAAAATTTATTTTTCTATTAACAACTATTAAAGATTGATTAGTTGTTAATGAAAAAATATTTAAATGTAGCTCTATTTGTCTTTAAGATAATTTAAAAGTGTTAAGTGAAACTATTGACTCTTAATTAAGTTGATCTACTAATTGATTAAGCATAATGGAATTATGTCCATACCACATATCAGTAATATTTTAAGGTCACTTTCTTGGTATATCCTTCTAACAGTTAGTATCTTCATCTTTTTCATGCTCAATAATCTTACGTTTAAGGGAATTTTTGGTTACTGCAGCTGCTAAAAACATTTTTGGTTTCTATTTATCCACTTTGCAAGATAAATTTCGCAAACTGACGTTTGTACATTGTGGCAAGAAGAGCATGGCTGTAGTTTAAGGGCATGGCCCACACCTCTCAACAATTGCATTCATTTTTACACCGTAAAAATGTTCCTCATTG